CGCCACACAACTAAGCACTTAGTCATGGTTAGGATGGCTGAAACGGCACCACGGCCCAGGCCTCTGACACCAGCACTTGGGAGTGGAGATGGAATACATATGAGTTTAAGGCCAGCCTGGTTTACATAATGAAGTTCAGGTTAGCCATTGCTAGGCAGGGAAGTCTGTAAAAGGAAGGAAGGAAGGAAAGACAGAAAGGGAGGAGGAGGGGACCAGTGAAATGACCAGATGGCTTTGTGGATAAGAATACCTGCCCAGCAAGCCTGACAACCTGACTGATTTACTAGAAACCACATTAACAGACAAACCTGGACACCTGGATGCAGTGGACACACCGGCAACCCCAGCGCTCCTAAGGCAAGATGGGTGGTGGAGAGCAGAGCCGCCTCTGGAGTCCCATAGGCTAGCTGGTCTGCAGAGAGAGAGAGAGAGAGAGAGAGAGAGAGAGAAAGAGAGAAAGAGAGAGAGAGAGAATCTCAAAACAAGGCAGAAGGAAAGAATTGATTCTCAAAACGCATGGATATATAGATATAGATATATATAGATATATATATCCATATATATGGATATATATGGTAAAATATAAGGATATAGGATATTAATTATTCTCTGAACACGAAGATATACATTTAAAAACCAAGACTCAAACCTCATATCAAAACAATCAACTTTAGGGCTGGAGAGATGGCTCAGCAGAGGACCTGAGTTCAATTCCCAGCACCCACATCGGGCAGCTTACAACTAACTTCCTGTAGCTCCAGCTCCAGGGGACCTGACACCCTCTTCTGGCTTACATTCTTGTACACTCAGCTGCACACAACCCACACATACAAACACATATTTAAAAATAAAATCCTTAACAAAATAACCAACCATGAGGTAAATGGGGTGGCATGTATTTGGCAAGCCCAGCATTTGTGATGCCGATACAGGAGAATCACCCTGCGTTGGAGGCCAGCTTGGCTTGGAGAGTGAGATCTTGCTTCAAAAAACCCAAAACCTTTAAAAAAAAAAACTCTCAATAACCTTGCATCCTCTACTTTGATGGCACACCCAAATAACATCAGCTTTAAATAGGCATTTAAATCCTCTTGTGCAACTTCGTTTACTCTCCAAAGCCAAAATTATCTACAGTTTTATCCCTGTGGATGACTCGTGCGTTGGTAACTTTGGGTATTTAGGTGTGAACGCATGACAGCATGTAAGGCTGTGAGTCTTCCAAGGGGTGCGGCCCTCACACCTGATGCCTTGGGGAACAATTCCTCTAGCACCTACACACAGCTCCACAGCCTAGGCCAGGCACACCTTATCACAGTCACACAGACTCTCCCACCTTCTCCAACCAGAAACCTATTCTCTTCACTTTTTAGATGAAGTCTTATACTACAGCCTAGGCTGGTCGGTCTGGAATTTACTATATATGGACAGCCCAGGCCTCAAACTCACAGCAATCCTCCTGCTTCAGTTTCCCAAATGATGAGATTACAGGCATGAGCTACCATCCCTGGCTTTAAACTGGACACCATTTATGAATAATTCTATCAGTGACTATTGGAGAGAAGGAATTCTACCTAAGATTAGGAGATTTTACCATTAAAACTAAATAGGCCAGATAGGGTAGCACGTGCCTTTAATCCCAGTACTTGGGAGGTAAAGGCAGGCGCATCTCTGTGAGTTTGAGGCTAGCCTGGTCTACAGAGCGAGTTCCAGGACAGCCAGGGCTACACAGAGAAACCCTGTCTCAAACACAAACCAACCAAGAAAACAAATAAACAAAAACAAATTACAGGAAGATTTTTTTTTCTTTTTTGCAAGTACTGAGTGCTTTCCTAACGATTCCTGATGCTGTGTAACATCAGGCTTACCCAACAACAATGTTCCCTTTGAGAAGGCGCTGGCAGCCATGTTCATAGGCGGCGCTCGATTCCTCAGAGCAAAAGCCTGGCTAACCCACGAGTACGACAGGAGATGTAGGTGCAGAGAAACGTACCACCACACATCCGAAACCCAGAGAAGCGATTGCCACAGGCAGCTGTGACATCAGCACCCTGAACCCTGGTGGTGGTTTTCTCGACTTCTCTCAGCCCCTTTGAAGAGTGAAGAGACACTTCGGGAGGAGCAGAAACAAGACGATTTTGTGGTTTTCTCTGACAAAGGAAGTGGTATGTGACTTGAACAGGTCGGTGACAAAGAGGCAGGGTGTGAGGAGCTCTGAGGACGAGCAGAGCTGGAACATTGGGATGTGAGCCTCACTTGAATGAAGCCCGCTGGGCGGTGGTGGCGCACACCTTTAATCCCGGCACTCGGGAGGCAGAGGCAGGCGGATCTCTGTGAGTTCGAGGCCAGCCTGGGCTACAGAGTGAGATCCAGGACAGGCACCAAAACTACACAGAGAAACCGTGTCTCGAAAAACCAAAACAAACAACAACAACGACAAAAAGACAAAGCCCTTGAGTTCTCACTGTGCTGGTGAGCCATGCAGAAGCTGCCTTGCTGTTGTGGGATATTATTACTTTAACTGTGGAAAGGTGTGTTACATTTGTTTCTGCTGCAGAATATTACTTTAACTGTGTAAAGGTGTGTTACTTTTGTTTATGCCACATTTGTTTAATGACCTAAGGATGTGTGTTTAATGATGTAAAGATGTGTTGCATCTGTTTCGCCTTGCCTGCTTAAGGCACCTGATTGGTCTAAAAAAGGGGCTGAACGGCCAATAGCTAGGCAGGAGAGGGATTGGGGGGGGGACACAGCTGGTGGGCAGAGAGAATAAACAGGAGGAGAAATCTAAGAAAAGAGGCGAGAACAAGGGAGATGCCCAGGATCGGTCAGGCAACCGCCAGTCAGCAGACACAGGAAGCAGAGAAAGTAAGATATACAGAAGGAACAAAACAAAACACTAAAAAGACCCCGAGGCAAAGGGTAGACAAAGAGAAACAGGTGAATTTCAGTTAAAAGAGCTAGCCGGAAATGAGCTAAAGTTAGGCTGAATATTCAAAACTAATAAGTCTCTGTGTGATCTTTTCCAGGAGAAAGAGGTCAAATACCATAAACTCGGCTTCCTACATGCTTTCCTGTCTTTTGCCCACAGGATCATATTTCTGGACCAACTATGACAATTTCAAGGGAAGAAAACGAAAAGTTCTCTCTCTGACGTCAGTAAAACCTTCTGCTTGTAGCAAAAATGAAACACCTCTTCTAACTTCGTGTGCCTTCTCCTGAGCACAAAGGGCTGGAAGACTGGTCAGTGGAGCCCAGTCAAATGCACGGGTGGACAGCTCAGACCTCGTGTTCTACTATGGAGTCACAGAAGTCTCATCTTCGCACATGAAGGCCACCGGTCAGCCAACAAGCATCTGCTGAATGCCTGACTACAGCTCGGTGTGACGTCATTGTGATGGATGCCAGACCTCGAGTCAGGAGTCCTGCCAATTATTTGACTTGTGGGCGGGTTCCAAGGACTCAGTTTCCATATGTCCATGTAGAGATGAGCCCGGGACTTAGGTTTCTTCTGACTGGAACTGTGATGAAGTCTAAAGCAGGGTAATGAATTCCCTCACTCCTCCATCTCCAGATAGCTAGAGACTGAGACGTTGCACCCTAAATTGTGTGTCTCTGCAAGGGCCCAGCTGGTTCACCTGGATGTGTGGGCATCTTCCCCCTGGCATGGTCAAAGGGGCCACCCACATGAGTCCTTCTCCCACATACTTCTCTCCCAGTCGTGAAATGTCCCAAGCGTGTGCTGCCTCAGGGCCTTCACACATGATGGACTTGCTGCTCCAGCTTCCTACAGGAATGGTGGTGGGTTCTTCCCTCTTTCAGATCTCCTCAGTTGCTACCTTCCGGAAGGGCACCTCTCACAATTCTAAGTAAGTTCTTTCTTACTGTGTCCTTATTTTGGAAGCACTGTTTTTTGAGCTCCTGGGGTGTATGCTACTTTCGTCTCTTTGGGGCCCCCTGTCGCTCTATGTAGGTGGGCTGTCCTGTTTATTCAGAACTGTACACTCAGCCAGGCCTGGTGGTTCCTGTCTGCAATCCCAGCATTTCAGAGGCCGTAAGAGGATCGCTGTGAGTCTGAGGCTAGTCTGGGTTACAGACTGAATTCTGGGTCAGCCTGGGCTACACTGAGATCCCCCTTCAAAAAATTGAGATAAATTGTGGGACTGGAGAGATGGGTCAGCTGGGGATGGGACACCATCTTCAGGCCTCAGAGGGCACTGTACTCACAACACACACACACACACACACACACACACACACGTCTGTTTTATGTTTTTCGAGACAGGGGTTCTCTGTGTAGTTCTGGTGCCTGTCCTGGAACTCACTTGGTAGCCCAGGCTGGCCTCGAACTCACAGAGATCCTCCTGCCTCTGCCTCCCGAGTGCTGGGATTCAAGGCGTGCGCCACCATCGTCCGGCTTTTTTGTTTTTTTAATTCTATACTCCATGCCTAATACTGTACTAAATTCCAAGGGAGCTGACGGCATCTGAAAAACGTGTTTTTCTCCCTCAGTCTCCTCCTTCAGGGCTCTGGGATTCGGTCTCGACTCAGAAGCTTCAGGCATTTCTTCTCACTGTTTGCTTTCTGTTTTTATTTTTCCGTGCTTGAGGCGGGGGTGGGGTGGGGTGGGGTGGGGGGGCTGACTATGTAGACCTGGGTGGCCTCGAACTCACAAGCGCAGGGATTGCAGGCGAGAGCCTTGACCAATCTCCAGCGAGCCTGCTCTATGAGTCCTGGCTATTTTTGGGGGGTCGGGTGGGGGGAGGGAAGGCTCTTATGACCTCACGACATCCCCTCACCGCCGTGACATCACGACCGCGTGCACACCGTCCCCACCCCGCTTCTCGCTTCTCCTCCTCCTCCCAAGCCTCGGACCCGGGCGGCGGCGCGCTCGCGCGCCGATGACGTCACACCCAGCGCTGGCGTCACGTGCCCCCTCTTCCCCCCCCCACCGCGCGGAGTGGGCGGGGCCTGAGGGCGGCGCTTCCGGTCGGCGGAGCCTGGGCGGCCCGAGCGGCGGCGGCGGCGTCGGCGGCTGCAGCTGCAGCGGCGTCGGCGGCGTCGGCCGAGTGGCGGGATGGCGGGCGCCGCGAGCGAGTCGCGCTTCGCGGGGCTGTCGCTGATGCAGCTGCACGAGCTGCTGGAGGACGACGCGCAGCTCGGCGACATGGTCCGGGGCATGGAGGAGGTGAGCGCCTTGGGAGCGGGCGCGCTGGGGCGGCCGGCCGGCCGGGCGGGCGGGCGGGGGGTGGGGTGGGGTGGGGTGGGGTGGGGTGGGGGTGCTGGGACGGCGAGAGTGGGGCCCTGAAGCGAGGATTGGGGGGGGCACTGAGGGCCCCAGGCCGGCTTGAGACGGGGATCGGAGCCTAGAACCGGCACACTGCGGGGGTCTTGGGGGCCCGGGCTGGGGCCCGTGAGAGGCAGTGAGGGCGCTGAGATTGGGTGGGTAGCTCGGGAGGGAGGGGACAGCGGTTGAGTGTCCCCCAGGGACTCGAGGGGGACCAAGGCAGGTAGATCCGGCACGGGTTTTGGGAACGCTTTGAGGGGAAGGGTTGGGAAAGTCGGAGGGGCCCTGGAGCCGGTTCCTGCGGGCGGGATCTGGGGCTCGCCCGAGTTGACGGACGGTTCCTGGAGGGGCGTGTGGGGAGCAAGAGATCTGGAGCCGAGTTGAGGATGGGATTCCGAGAGGGGTCCTCGGAAGTTCAGAGGCCCCCAGGCCGCAGACAGCCAGGCTTGAGGTGAGCAGGGACCCCGTGCTCCCGGGCTCCCCAAGTGCCCCTTCCCGTGAGAGCGGCCTTAGCAGAGTTGGCTCAAGAGTTCCTTCCTTCGCTTGTTCTGTAAACGGTCTGTGGGCGGCAAGAGGATCCCCTTTCCTCCAGGCATCCCGGCCTTCTGGGAAAGAAGGGATGAGGGGAATTGTAGCATGGCTGGCTGTGCCCCCACAGTTGTTTGCCCACCTCTTTGGGTTCCTGAAATTGCTTCTGGCAACAGTAAATGGGGGGGGGGCTGGGAGCTGACTGCTGACCCCCCCCCTTCCTAGTCCACGGCCTGCCCAGCCTCTGGAAGGCATGTGCCCGCCCATGTTTCTGCTTATCTTCCTCCACACCTCGCCTGTGGTTTGCCCTGAGGAGTGACTGACTTCACCCTTGGTAGTACTTCCCTATTCCCTTCTCTCCCAACTGGTCCTGACTCTGATGCGCCGAGCCCGGGGCTGTCTGATCCAGCTCTCCCTGGCCCACCTCCCTCCTTTGTCTGGGAAGTCTGAGCTTCCCTATGCCCGCAGTGCCTAGTTTTTCCTCCTGCCAGAAGCTGGTGTAAAGGGGCTTTTGGCTGGCTTTCCGAAGAGGGATTGTTCAGCACCCAGCCAGCCCCCTTCCAAGGGGGCTTGTAAGAAGGTTGTACATTCAGAATCCCTGGAAAACCCTCAACAGATCATTGTCTGCCTCGACAGAGGGGCCACTGTAGTACGATGGTATCAGTCTTTCCATTAATACGCCCCTTGTATTCACGGGCTTTGCAGCTTGGCTCTCAGAACGTTGCTGGGAGATGCAATTTACCCAGTTTGTGGTATCCGTGTGGCACTTTCCATTTCAGAGAATTAAGAGACAAAATCCATCCTTCTTGGCTGAATGAGAATTCCGTGTCTGCACAAGAAAGGACAATCCTGTCTCCGCTTCTCTGCAGTTCCTGGGAGACGTTTTTTTGGTTGGCTGTTGGCAGAGTGTCTTTCTAGTTTAATAATAAAATGATAGGTATGCTTTTCAGCATGTGACCCTGCCGGCAAGCTGCTGCTTTGCCGTGTGTGACTGACTATTCTGTTTCAGTCAGAACAGCTACTGGAACGCTGTAGGTGGGACATTTAATAAAACAAACTGCTATTTAGTGGAGGGATCGGTGGGGGGTGAGTCAAATAGCCTGGCGGTGGGTGACTCTGGCTTCCCATGTGTCCTCTCCCTAAAAGCCTGGAGATTGGTTTTTGTTGTTGTTGTGATTTGGTTTTTTGAGACAGGGTTTCTCTGTGAAACAGCCCTAGCTGTCCTGGAACTTGCTCTGTAGATCAGGCTGGCCTCAAACTCAGATCCACCTGCCCCCTGCCTCCTGAGTGCTGGGATTAAAAAGGCGTGCGCCCCCTTCACACCCAGCTGAAACCTGGAGATTGTAATAGGAGGAGGGAGGCAAATTAATCTGGCAGGATTTAAAATTTCTTAGTGAAAGTGTCCTTACCGTAGTACCCTATGGAAATACTGAGGACCGACGGACCCCACCTGAGTAGACCACGTAGTGTTATTGGAGTTACCTAGCGGTAATTTGTTTGTGAAGGTGTCGTGGTTTGAAAACAAGGAAACGACTGGAAAACCAAAATACCTGGTTCGCAAACCTAGTTATTCCCCTCACTTGACAGTGCCATGAGTTTGTTTATTTTGGCATGGGTTCAAGCGAATATTCTGTGAACCATCCACTCCTGACCAAGTGGAGTATTTATGATAAAGTGTTAAGGAGCATTCCGGCTGTGGTATCGTAGACTATGGACTGGACTTGGCTGCTCTCGAGCTGTGTGATTGTAGGCAGATCACTGCACCTCTCTGAACAGCTCCGGGGAAGGACAGCATGATGATAAGGGTCAGGTGCGATGTGACTTTGAAACACCTAACACAGCTTATGGTTAGTGTTCGGCACTCCATAACAGAAGTTGCTGGAACCGGAGCCCTGTTGGTAAGGTACCTGCTGTGGACACACGGGCCTGCATTCGATCTCCAGAACCCATGTAAAAAGCCAGAGATGCCACTGGGGAGACAGGAGGCTCCCTGGGGTACACCAGCCAGCCAGTCTAGCCGAATGGGTGAACTGCAGGCCTGTGAGGGACTCTGATAAAACAAGGTGGACTGCCCCTGAGGAGGCAAGGTCTACCCGAGGTGGGAACACCCGAGAGGTTTTCCTCTGGCCTCCACACTCTTGTATGCATGTTGCCCTGTGTACGTATGCACGTGTATGTGTACACACACACACAGAGTAAACACCTGGGGTTCTCTTTTTGAAAGAATAATTGCTGTCACCCCAACAGATGAATAGGGTCTCATTTTAAAAATTTTAAGGTAAATTTAGACTTGCCAGTAGCCTAGAAAACATTTTACCTTTTTACAGTCGAAAGGGTTGTGTGACTCAGTGGCCCTAGGAAGCCTCGGGGAGTGGACTGGCGGTAAACTGAAATGAAGGCTCTCTCTTTAAACTGGCAGAAGGAAGTGTTTTAAATTGTAGAGTGAGGCTTCTCCCAGCCTGAGGGGATATTTTGTGGCTGCTGTAAAGTGTGGCTTGTCGAAGACATTCACTTTAGGCTTAACTGCAGTGGGCATTGTGTTCGCTTACACTACTTTAATTGCAGTGTGTGAGTTTTAGCGCAGCTCCGGACATTGAAATGATGTCGTGCTGTAGGCGCTCCAGGGCCCTGTGTGTTTTCCCTTTTCCTGTCTTCCTGTCCATTATGCTGCTCCCTAAATGCAGACATCGTTAGTGGGCCTTCTCATCTTTTGGGGGACAAAAAGTGTGCTTGTGTGGGCGAGACAGGGTCTTCCTACATAGCCCTGGCTGTCCTGGAACTCACTCTGTAGACCAGGCTGGCCTCAAATCCACCTGCCTCTGCCTCCCAAGTGGTTGGGATTAAAGGTGTGTGCAATCACACCTGGCTGAAATTTTTTTTTTTTTTTAACGTACAAATGGATGTTGATGTCCAAGTGGGGGTCAGAGAACAGCTTTGAGGGGTACGCTCTTCCCTTCCTCCGTGGGATGGAGGAGTTGAACTCGGGCTTGAACAACGAGGGCCTTTGCCGCCTAAGCCAGTGGTTCTCAACCTGTGGGTCACGATCCCTCTGGAGGTTGAATGACCAAGGGTCATGCCGGAAGACTATGGGAGAAAGCACAGATATTTACAGTTCATAACAGTAGCAAAATGACAGTCATGAAGTAGCAGTGAAAATCATTTTATGCTTGGGGGGGGTCACCACAACATGAGGAACCGTATTAAAGAGTCACAGGGTTAGGAAGGTTGAGAACCACTGCCCTAAACCATCTTACTGGCTTTCTTTCTTTCTTGAACTTATTTTTACATGGCAGTGGAATGTGCCTTTATCTGTCCCCATGAACCCTGCTGACTGGCAAGGCCCTCCCATAAAAGGAGCGGTTGCTTGGGGGATTAGGCAAGCACACGGGACCTCTTGGGTCACTTCTGCCTGTGTCTTCTAAGGAAATGCTGCCTGATGTACACCAGCTAACCGTCTCACAGAGGATTCAAATTCCTCAGCTTTGTTCCTGTGGGAATGAAAGTGTCAGCACACAGAAATGCTGGGCGCCTGAAAAGACAGTGTTTTGTGGAAAGTAAAGAACTCTGGTCTGGAAGAAGCCGCTTCCTTGAGTCTGTTAGGCCGTGATTTGTGTGTGACAGCAGCTACTGCCCCAGTCATAATGGCTCATTGAAATGGAACGCTAACCCGGGACTCCTTGGGAACACACAGACTGAATCATTGCTGGTGGGCCCTGGTTTTTTTAGAAACCGAGATTTGAACTTGCTGAGGTTATACAGTGGTCTCACTCTGTAGCCCCGGCTGTCCTGGCCTGACTATATCAGCCAGGCTGGCCTCAAACTCAGAGATCCTCCTGGGGGCTGGGATTAAAGGTGTGGGCCATCACGTCTGGCTTTTTTAAATAGCAGTGTTACAGTTTTATGGCAGGATGATAGGTAAGAGTCACATGACTGGGTGACTGCCTTTAAGTTACTTCAAGTCCGTGCGCTTCAGTTTTCTCGACTTTTAAGGAGAGTGGTGGTGCCCGCCTTTAGGGTTTTGTGTGACCCAGAGGGAGTGTTCCCTAGAGGCCACCCCCCTTTCTTAGTCAGAGCTTTTCTGAGTTGGTGGATTGAAGCTTGTGGATTGTCACAAATTTGAGACCAGATTGGACTCCAGTGTAAGGAAACTATTCCCCCCCCCCCCAAAAAAAAAGAAGGAAAGAGACCAGGGTCTGAGTTGCGCCAGCCTGATACCTCTTGTTCCCTGAGTATCCACTTCCCCGTAGAGCTCTCCCTGCTCCCTCAGTCACAGACATGTTCCTTGTCCCTTAGCCTCCTCATTGGCGTCATCTGGGGCATTCGATACCCATTTTATAAGCTGGCCGCTTCCCTGTGGCCCCGTTCCACACTGC